ACTCACCTCAGCCTCCCAAAGACGCGGGATTACAGGCTGAGCCACCAAGCCCGGCTGAGACTTTGGATCTTACTTAAATCTTTCAGAAGATGAAGGGGAGAGTTACCAACTGGAGGTGGAAGCTCAGTTTCCCCTACTAGTGTCCTTTGACTACCTGGAGAAGGGTGCTCAATAACTGCTATGTAGAGGTGGGATAAGAGGCTCCCCATTATTCATCCACTGGCATCACCCAGGAAAGCAGGAGGACCTCTCTTTCTCTTCTGGTGGCCTCCACTAACACCACTACCAGAAGGAAGGCCTCACTAGCAGTGAATGATGGTAAAACTTCTAGCTACCAACTCTGCCCTCTAACATAAACAGAGAGGAGACATGTCTTGATACCACTTGGTGGGGCAGAAGAAACTGATCCTCATAAGGCTCCCACTGATATCTTCCAGAACAGTCTCATTATCATCAAGTGGGAACAAAAAATCTGGCTCTCCTGTCTTCTCTGACACCATGACAGTGGGAGACGTGGACAGTGAGGGGGCAAAGTCAGAAGTTTAGATTCACCACGCAAGCTTTCCTGATGGGAGGAAGGGTTTAGCTGTGGTATTTGCATGGTGTTTACCTACGGTATGGCAGTTATGGTCTAAAAGTTTTATGTCTTTCTAGATTTCCTGATTCTTTGGCTATAAGAAGTAGACTTTTCCTGGGGAATTGTCTTTCTCTGTTCCCATAGGAATTTCTGGGTTACTGGTTCTTCCAGCAACCAGTGTTGGGTATACAAAGCAAAAATAAAACAGGGAATTCACCACCATATTTTTCCTCAGTTCCCAAGGTCCCTAGGCAGTTTGCCTTCTCTCTACCTTTCAAAGTCAGCTTATGTTTATGTTATATATAATTCCCAAGGGTTTTGGCTGTATTTAGTAGAAAGAATTGAAAGAAACATGTCTACTTCATCTTGATCCAGAACCAAATGTTCCAAAATAATATTTATTAGTAGGATTTCCTTTTCTACAGGAGAAACTGGCTTTCCTCCCCCACTTGCCAGTTTTTCTTCCTTTCAGCTGTCTCTTCCTAACTATGCCAAGTTGGCTTTGAAACAATTCTTTCATTAAATAACCTCATGAGGTCACTACTACCAGCTGTGAGAGTGTCTCAACTATTCCCATGATAATAAGAACTTTTCTGTAGTCCATTTACACTGAGACACAGACATTAACAGCATATGCTAATTCAATTCTCAACATATGCTGATCAGTTTTCCAAACAGATATTGAGGTCTTGTTTGGTGCTACTGTTTTATTGAGACTTTCTATGATAATGACTAATCCAAACTTATTAATTAACAATATTATTAAAGCCAAATTTTCCAGCCTGTTCAGTTTACGAATTTGTGTCTTAGAATACTCCTTTTCTTCTCCCAAGATCTCTGATCTAGAAGGCTCATGTGTAGTATCAATATTTGAGTGCTTAAAATTATGTTGTTTTAGCCAGAGATAGAGCTGGGAGTGGAATTAACAGTCATTGGGTGGTTGAATACACACTAGAAGTTTTATATGCATTGTCTAATTTAGTCCTCAAAATAAATCCATGCTGTATCTTTTACCAATGAAGCTTTTTCAAGGTCACCCAGTTAGTAAAATCCAACCTGGAATTGAACTCCTGCTGTAGATATAGAGTTATCGTGCAGATCATGGACCATTAGTACATCATTAAATCTGTCTATTGAAATTTTTCTTTAAAAGTGAAGGAGATCAGAGTAGAAAATACTACCAAGTATTTCACATAATGAAAAAGTACTGTTTAATGAAAACCAACATTTGTTTCATATATATATAAATCTAATAAATCTAATATGTTCACTGAGTCTCAATGCATAAAATATTATTCATAATGTAACTGGCAGTCAAAGAAGTCTGGGACGATTGTGTTAGGTGACCTTCTGAGCTATACATTACTTCTAAGACAAACTATTTACCATATTCACTGTGCTGATACTCTTCCATGAATGGCATTATCCTTCAAAAACAACATTTATTTTTTAAAGTCCCAAACTTGCAGTGCAAAATCTCTGGTTTAGAACAGAAAATAATTGTTTATGTGGCAAAAATTCATGTTAGCATAAAACTGTGGTTGTCCATGATGTGTGTGTGTGTGTGTGTGTGTGTGTGTGTGTGTGTGTGTGTGTGTGTGTTTCTGGAGTAAGAGCAAAATTTGCCATTTTCTTTCCCCTGCTTCCCACAATTAGGTGAAATTCCAATCAGTTTCACAATGATATGAGAATTGGAAACAAAGTACAAAAGAGAAATTCAATTCCAGTGGTTAAGAGGGTAGATTCTGGAGTTACACAAAGTATTTCAAATCTAGGCTTTGTCATCCAGAGCCCTGGGCAAGTTACTACTAAATTTTCTTACCTACAAAATAGTAGTAATAGTAGCAACTAACTCATTGTGATAGTGTTGGGATTAAAATGAGGTATACATATAAAGTCATTATCAACGTGTTTTGCCTTACAGCAACAACTTAATGACTGTTGGCTATTAGTCTATTATTTCTTAAGTAAGACATTTACAGAAGCTCAATAAGTCCAAAGTAAATCTTGAACTGTTACAGACAGGAAATGAATGCTTTTGCTTTCTTGTTAGACTTGCTAAATTGTCCTTCAGAATATACTAAACGATAAATCAACATTGTTCAATTTTTATAATATAAATAATTGTTGGCCGATTTTAAATAGGAGGAAAAGGGAAGAAAATAATATTTTGTTAGTTTTCATATTCATACAGCCCTAACTATACAAACCAGTTCTCTCCATAATCTCTAATTTACTTTTACTGACATAACTTTCTGGGATGAAGTCAAGAGCTGGATGTTATATAGCAAGGTTGGATTTCATACTAAGACCCAAACTTTAGCAGCTAGTACTCCTAAATAGAATGTTTTGAAAATGAGAAAGACACCTGAGTGTATCTTTAATGAAAGGACTTTTGGTATTGCAGGACAACCTGGAGGCTTCCATGTTCCCGATGCAGAAAGGCTCCCTGAATCTCTTGAGGCAGAAATGGGAATCCTGTGATTACCAGAAAAGTGAGCGCTGTCCAGGGGCCAGTCGTAGTATGGTGTTCCAGCCTCCGGAAAACAAATTGCTTGAGCCTGAAGGAGAGGTAGTATCAGCACCTGAACCTCCAGATCCCCCAAGTCTGCCCTGTAGTACAGGGGAAGAGATGTTGAGCTCAGAGCCTGAAGAGAAGCCTTCTGATGACAAGAGTGACAACTCCAGAGAATATGTCCGGCCGGAAGTGTTGAAGGAAGATTCTCTGAGTGGTCGCCGCAGGATAGAGCGCTTTTCCATTGCTCTTGATGAGCTGAGGAGTGTGTTTGAGGCTCCAAAGAGTGGAAACAGACCCGCTGGAGCAGCAGAGTGTGGAGGAAGGGTAAGAGGCCATTGATTGTCTAAGTTTACAGTTGACAGGCTAGGCAGTCTTGACAATTACTTCTAAGCATGTAATCTTTTCCCCCTTACCTATACTCTAGGCAGATGTCCTGGAGTCATCATATAATACAGTATGAAATGTGACGCCCTTTCCTATTAATTTCCTCTATGGTTTCTTTCAGTTTGGATTTGACTTCCTTTCATGCCCACCAAAACAATTCTGATATGCCCTCTTATGTTGATGTCTCTTTACATATGCGCCTTATTTCCATAGTTAGGTTGTACATTCCTTAGAGGAAGGGACAATCTGTAACCACTCTTTGTATCTCAAATTTCTAATAAATAGTGCGCTTTTAGCCAGAGTTCAGTGAGGACTTATTAGTAATGATGATGAAATGGAAGAAATGAAGGCTTTGGAAACACAGTAACCTAGGTTTTATTCCTAAAGCTTGCCATTTACCTCTCTAGCTGAATGACACTTGAATTTGGAAATACAAATGTCTTAATCTGCTACTTTACAGAGATCTTGTGAAGATTAAACATAATATATTTAAATCACCAAGTACGGAGTCTGAAATATTGTGTAGTAGGTGATGATCATGCCTCAGTGATTATGGTGTACTATAATGTCACATATAAAACATGTTTATTAGCTAAAGAGGGCATTTAAGTCAAGTGCAGGAAACAAGATTAGCAACATTATTAACGAGGACCACATTTATACATCTTTTATAATTGAAAGCAACTACTGTTTCAACTGGAATTACTTGAATTTATTATACTCACTAAAGTCCATACAGATAAGAGATTATAGATGGATTTTATAAAGAATTAATCAATAATTTCAGGTTTTCCATGGAGGTAAACTTCATGCTTTGTTATTTATACTTTTTTCACTTAATGACAGTTATCAGAAAGGTACATAGCCCTATTCTTGTTAATGAATAATTAGCCTTCATAGAAGGCAGCATAGAAATAGAAAAATCTTCTTAATAAATTATATTGCTAAAACTAGCCTTCTGTTTTCCTATTGGGACATATATAGTAGTATACCATTCTTGAACATCAAGTAACTATAATTGGCTTAATGAGGAAAAGAGATATGAAGTTATGTTTTGAGGTTATATTGAGACTAGAGAATCTGCCTAAAAACTTTCTGATCTCTGATTTGAGGCTTTTCTTTTCCTCCTTTTTATTCCACAGCGGAGATCCTTTTTGTTTGTACTTTTATAACATCTTTTGGTTGGGTGTTTAGAGATTGAAGTACACTCAACCAAGATATTTACAATGTCATTTATTTTTTATCTTTGTAAATTAAGAAAAGTAAAACCACAGAAAATAGTTTTGATTCAAGTTCTGTTGACTTTAGTGTAACAATTCTGAACATTTACCCAAGATAATTAACAAAAAAATTCCCAAAGATAGAAAAAATCATCCATATAAATGATGTAACATAACCTATCACATCTGGTTGAGATATGTTGCTTAACTGCAATGGTAAGAAAATAAAACATTAATAAGAGCTTCTGGTTTAAATGTGAAATTGCTACTATTTAGCATGGTGTGTATATGCCACCTAGGATACATTCAAATAATTATGAAAAATATCAAATATATGAAAACCATCTTTTTGCTTGTAAAAATATTTGTTTTGGATATTTAACATACTGTTTTAAATATTCTAAGGTACTATCTCATAATATGGTATTTTCCTAAATGTATAAAACAAGGATGCTAAATTTAAAAATTTCTTATTCATAGTAGACATAATTGGTTTTTAGAATTAGTTTATACAAATAAGAGTTAGGAATGTTTGCAAAACTTTCTTTCATTATAAATTCCAGAACAAAGAAAGAAAAAAGAGAGAAGTCAATGAGACTTTAACTTATATTCTCCAAATGAAGTTTTTTGTTATGTTATTAGGCATATAAAAAGAACACTAGTTTGACCAAATTTGAAATTATATATTTTACCCCATAGCATGGTGATTATATACAACTTAACCATTAGTTTCTACAGAGCCTTTTTTCTTCCTCATGTTAACACTTTATATTATTAAAGTGTTTCATTATAAAGTGATGACATAATATTTATTTGTATAAATTATGCAAAAATTCTAGCTATTTTATAACTGTAACACTTATATTTGTGCAGAATCTCCATTGGGGTGTTGGAGATGTGGGAAAAGGTATTTTATATTGATCACTTTTAAAGTAAGGACAAAAAATTTCCAATATGAAAAATATTTAGAAATTAGCAAATCATCTCAACAATAAGGAACAACGAACTGCATTTTAATGTTACATAGAATGAAACTTTCAAGCAATAAGTACTTGATTTTTAAAAAGTTATAAAGTTATCAAGGTTGAATTTGTAGAATTTTTAAAGGTATAGAATGTTATATGCATATGATATCTATTTACAGATATATTTCTGTATACATGTGTGTGTATATATGCATATTTTGGCTAACTATTTTCAGCAGAGGAAAAATGTAAATATTTACTTATTATAAAGTATTCACTTAAGGATAGTTTAGTCACAAAATGATTCATTAATAGGAAAAAAGATCTCTAAGGTTCTTAATATTATTTTATAAGTATGTACATTTATTAAAAATAGATATTAATACCTCAACAATTCACTATGTTTGCAGATAGTCTTTGTGCTTATAGTCTTTTTTACAACAATTTATCCTAATAAAATTGCAATAGAAAATAAATGAGGAATTCTTAAAATAATTTTTCCTGCTGAAATTTTATAATTTTTAAAGAGAAACACAATACATTATTATTTCCAAAACACCCTGCTAAAGCAACTTAGAATAACACCTAAGCTGAAGATTATTATGTTTATGAGTTAGACTATAATTCAAAAATATAAATTCACATAAGCCTCATCCCAAATAAATGGTGTGGAACAAGATTTTAAAGAGTTTTTAAGAATTTATAAGATTCTGTTATAAAATTATACATCTTGAAGAGAATGGCAAATCTTGTAACACTAAGAGATAAATTGTTATTATGTAACGTATCATTTATCATTTGCTGTGCAATAAATCACTCCAAAATTCGTGACTTTAGACAATAAGAATTTATTATTGCTTACAAGTCTCTCATGAAATTGGAAGTTCATCTGGTCTTGTCTTGCTGTCATTCATGCATTTATGGACAGCTGCCAGGTCAGCAGGGCTCTGGCTATCCTAGTCTGACACCAGAGCTAGAACAACTCAACTCTGCCTCATTTTGTGTCTTCTGCTCCAGCAGGTTTTCCAGATTTATTCACAGGTCATAGGATTTCAACAGAGAAAGTAGAAACACATGAGACCTCTGGAGGCCTATACCAAGAACTTGCATAACATCACTCCTCTATATTCTATTGATCAAAGTAATCACAAAGCAAGCCAGATTAACCGTTTGCTGAAATATTACACCTCCTGATAGAAAGAATTTTTTTTGCATTTGCAAAGAAAAATAGATACTATGAGAGGAATAATTGCAGTCATTTTACAGTCTATCACAGGCAAGTTTAGCTACATACATTCAAGAATCACACAAATACCAGAAGGATTCATGTTGACAACTATTTGTCGACAAAACTCATGTCTTATTCTTTATTTAGATTCAATTAAGTGACTACACTGATGATAGTTATTACGATAGGCAGAATAACAACAACCTCCCAAAGATATTTGCATCCTAATCTCCAGAACAGATGACTGTGTTATCTGACATGTCAAAAGGGACATTACAAACATGATTAAGAATCTTCAGGTTTTCTTTTTGTTTGTTTCTGTTATAGAGACAAGTTCTCCTACATTGCCCAGGCTGGTTTCATACACCTTGCCTCAAGCAACCTTCCTGTCTTGATTTCCCAAAACACTGAGATTATAGGCATGAGCTACTTTACCTGACCAAGAACCCTTAGATTAAAAGATTTTCCTGAATTTTCCCAGATAAAAACTGGGTCTTTATAAGAGGAATGCAAGAACGTCAGAGTGAGAGTCAGAGAAGGAGCGATGATGACAGAAGCAGAGGCTAGAGTGATACATGGCCATGACCCAAGGAATGTGGCAGCCTCTAGGACCTGGAAAAGGCAAGGAAACTGGTTCTCCCAAGAGCCTGCAGAAGGACCAAAGCCCTGTGGACACCTGGAATTTTGCCAGTGAAACTTACTCAAAATTTGACTTCCAAAACTATAAGAAAATAAATATATGTCATTTTAAGCCAGTATGCTTATGGCAATTTACTACAGCAGCAATAGGAAATTAACACAGTCATACCGTAGGCTCTTTAGAGATTGTTTAAAAAATGATTGGACAATATATGATTGCAGGGTTATCCTACGTTCTTTCCTGATGTATGTATTCTGATATTTCAAAATCAGGTCTTTGACTTTTTCTATCTGTAGTTGATAGTATAAATGTTTGTCATATGTAATCAAGGAACATTTTAAATCTCAGTGAGCCTTAATTTTAGATGCTATGTAATGATTTGCAGCACATAGTCATCCAAAAGTGTAAACTAGTCAGAAGGAGAGGAAGTTTGTTTTAAAAAGAAAGAAAAAGAGATTAGAAAAGAATATATAAATACAAAAAGTAAGTGGGATACTGTTGCTTCAATTAATATTTTCTTCTATGGGTGATATGCGTTATATGGAATATACATACAATTTTTAAATAAAATTTACTTAACTTTGGCTACCCAATTCTGAGTAGGAGCAGTGTTTAGACCACTCTGGAACAGAACAAGAAGGCATAAATTCTCCTTTTTCTTGAAGGTCCCAATTGCTGGCCATGGCGCTGCCACAGTAAGGCCACTGAAAAGCCTCCCGCAGGGATCCTTCAGCCTTCATATATTTCCACTGTTAATAAGGGGCTTCATGATTGTATTAATTAATTAATCTTACCTTTATTTCTATTCATGCCTTTTAGTTTTTCAAATGGTGAAAATTCGTTGCAGTAGATTACTTACTGACTTACTGTGTTTTCAATGCACAGTT